ACATACTGCACTCATTTTATTTATTATTTTTCGCTGGTTGATTTATTATTCATGTATTTCGTCTGCGATTAAAGGCTTGTTTTTCTATAACTACGGATTCTTCTCACGGTTTATATTATAGGGATGTTTAGTTTTTCTGTAGTAAATGTCAAATACCAGATATAGTTGTTTATTATGTATATTTGAAATTCGTGAGACATATGTGAGAATTGTCTATAAAAACGTCTTTTTAGGAAATAAATTCGAAATAACTTTTCCACAAATAGTTCAAAGGCTGAGCTGATAGGTTGATGAGGAGTTTAATTTAAGTATTATGAAGACACTGTTTATATTATGAATATTTGTATCTATTAGAGATATCTGAGCGGTTCCCTGCACAATTTATGTATAAAACTACATGATATATTTGTAACTTTTTATATTTATAACATTTTTCCAAACATTTTGCCACAACAGACAACAGAGAAATGGTGAAAAAAAAACTCTGATATTTATGATGTTTGGAAAAATGTTAAAGTTGCGAAATTCATAATTATTTTATACAAAATTAATCTGCTTGATACTTTCAAATTTTTGTAAACAAAATTGACATGGAATTAAAGAATGACACAATCACATTTTTGCTTATATTTTAATTGTAGGTTTTTCTGGGCCTAATTATAAATTTTACTAATTTGAAGGGAGATTTTTGCAAATAACTTTTTTCTACAAACGTCAAAAAATGACAAGGTTCGCGAATTGATAGCAATGTGCGAAGTGACACTTTTTCTCATTTTCCTACTTTACCATGACACGGTGCGCGAAGTAATGCGCGAAATGCCTATGCGTGAAATGCCTATTTCGCACGCTGCATGTAAATTATATGGGATTTTGGAATTTTGATTTTTGGAAAATGAAGAACTAAATCATAACTAATTATTTATTTCGAAATATTCAAGAATAAACAAAAAACAAATATCAAACTTAACACTAATGCATATTCTAGTTATAATTTACAATATTAACATTAATAGTACAACTAGTACACGAACCAATATTTAATCCCAAACTAGATTAGATTAGATTAGATTCTTAGAGGTGGCTTTCGGCCTGATCCACTGCGACCTTCTCAGATCTATTGTGGTCCTCTTCTGATCCTTAGATTACATTCTCCAGTCCTATCCTTTTCACAAAGTTTAGCAACTTGGAGACTGAACCCTCCATGTAGCTCCCTGGCACCGACATAAAATGTGTTCTGACGTTTCTTCTTCAGATTGGCAGAACCTACACATAGCTTCGTCTGTCAATCCCATCAGCTTTAGATGCCTATTTAGCTTACAATGCCCTGTTAGTAGACCTTCCCAAACTAGATAGTTCTGATTTTGCTTGAGATATGGGGGTTTTGGGACTTGAGACACTATCCAATTTTGATGTAGAGGTACTTGATCCCGGTATTTGACACTCTAAAATTTTATTTGATATTTGAATTTTATTGTTAATAGAATACTCGACGTATCCCTCGGCCACTGTCGAAGATTTCCATCCTCCGTGGCACTTCAAACTAAATATATCACGCCCTGCATTAGCAAGGAGTGTAGCTGAAGTTCTCCGAAACCAATGCCCAGTGTAGGCCTCATAATCTGCCAGCTTCAAGTGTTTTGCTATCATGCTAGTCATCTTACCAATAGAATTTATGCCGACTGGTAGCATTTCATGAACGAAGAGCTGCGTATTTTCGGTAAATCTCAATATAATTCAAATTTGACACTGTAAAAACTCTATGTTTGTTTTTGTATCGGGTACTTTAACAATCAAAATTGAATCTTTATTTTCTATGTTATCGACCGATATTTTAGTAAGTTCCTCACGGCGCGGCGGCAAGCACCAAAGATACCAAGTATTAAAACGACCTAAAAGAAAATCGATCACGATGCTCAGTAATAAAAAAAACATACATTCCAAGCTCATACTTTTTTTCGAAGCAATAATATAATAATAATAATTTTTAGGGATATCCCGATTTTAATGTTTGTAGAATAAATAATGTTGTTTACAACTCGTCCGCGAACTACTTTGATGACCTCGACGATCTCTCGGCTACGCCTCGTTAAAAAATTCAAGTATCGATCACCAAAGTAGCACTTTGCGCAGATACAAAAATAAATGCAATACTATAACATTATAAACCAGACAGTATAAAATTTTATACAAGGGTTTATTTAGTGACATCATAACGAAATATATCTTCCTCAATTATCCTTCAAAGAATAAAAAATAACCTATAAAGAGAGTATTAGTGCTCTTAATAAATAAAATATTTAATGTTAACACTACTACTTTTTCAGTGAATCTTTAAATCTGTTGTTTTTTGTTAAGTTCGTTATTTAAACATATGTATGTAATACACTCATATTAACACTAATCATATTTTTACGTTTTTATTCATCGTTTTCAATGGCCCCCCGGTTGCATCTTTGTAAAGGACTGTGAATTTTTTTAATTATTGGTTTTATCTGTAGATCATCAATAGTGTTTTCCATAGCAACTACCAACTGTTAAAATTGCCTTATATCTATCAAAAATAGTAGATAAAATAGTACTTTAACAGCTAGGGTAGATTAAATGATACTTTAACAGCGAGGATAGGTTAAAAATTTTATTTCTTCTCGCACGTTTTTTAAGTGCTTCCATTTTTGAAAATTTTTGTACTCCTTGTCATAAGTTATTCGGGATTTAAATGGAAGTAGTTTGGATATGGCGTTTGTCTCCTCAGCCTGAATATCTTTGGTAATTTACTTATTTCGTTTTGAGCCATTTCTGGCTCCAATTCAATCAGCAATCGACACGAAAGAGAATTAAAAAATATTGACTCAAAACTGACAACTAAAGAGACAGCTTTATTTATTTGTCAAATTACATAGAAACCAACACCATCCCAGCACAATATTTTTTCTACTCGTAATAAATTCATTGAAATAATAATTTCTGAATATTTTTTAAAACGTAACTCGCTATGGAAAAAAATAGTTTTGTACAAGACGATAAAATTGCATTATCGTCTCCCGAAATTAATTCACTCGCTATTTCATCGCTCGTGAATCAATGTTATATTACTATGAATTAATATTTTGAAACCTGTTCAATAGACAGACATTTTGACCGCTATTCCTTTATTAATATGTATTGATAACATACAAAGTTCTAATACATTATCAATATAAACGATCTCACATTTATCCCGATAGGACTTTAATTGCCTTTTTACCGCATCATGAACGATAACCATTAAGAGGAACAGTTTGATTAATACACTAATCTACTTTGTAACAGTAAAAAAAGAAACAGACTCGTGAATAACTTGTTTACTATTAACATACAATCGGGCGGACGAGACTCTCCAGTTGTTAGTTACTAAGTTGTTGGCTCATTAGCATGAAATTAATCATGCCTCTTCGCATTTTCTCAATGCGTAATAAAACTGTTCATGGTTCACGCGTAATTGTTGACTGTTTGTTTCTCGAGAAGGTCTTAAACTGGTCTATTTCGACAAATAGATAATAGTAAACAATTATCTTTTTATCCACTAGTGATGGACGTTTTGTTAGAAGGATACGCTTGTATTTTAACCAACACTGTAAAGAGATCCTTTTTAACTATTAGTCTTTAACTAATAAAAGTGTAAAGCATAACATTAATTTGTTCTGATCAAGCATATACAAGCAAAATTGAGTTAATAAATTCCGCGAAAAATGTTCAAAAAATATCCCGTCTGTTCATAACAGAAGACGGTCGACATGTAGACAACACCTGTAGCAAAATCTCATGTCTTGATTTGCTATTAATTTTTATTGTTATTAAATATAGTTTAAATGTGTTGAGATGTTTTTAAATATAGTTTAAATTGTTATAAAATTCTGCATCTCTCTTTGCAAACATTATTTCCGTTTTAATTGCTGCTCACAGCTAGATTTTTTTTGCATTACAGCCGGCGTCGCGCGTCTTTCATGCCTACTTATTCAAAGTGGGCGAATTTTTAAAAACTCTATATCTCGAAGAGGAATCGAGCAAAATATCAAGTAGGCTACATTTTTAGAAAGGTAATTTTAAATTATTTTCAATTCATTAAAAATATACAGGGTCTCCCATATAAAAAATCAAATTTTCTGTTGATGATTCTTAAATTATTAATTTAAGAAAAATTATACTTAAACCATTCAATTCTACGTAAAAAGGTGCTTTGAAAATGTTTTCACAAAAATACAAAATTTTCCATAGTAAAAAAGTTACAGTGATTTGTTAAAAATACACATTTTTGAAAAACACCCCGTAACTCCGAAACGGTAACAGATATCGATGCGGTTTTCACCATCATGTTTTTGATAAATATTGAGCTCCAGACACCGATATTAGTTTTCGTCTATCTCCTATAGAAAAGGGTGTTTTCCTTTAAAAGTGTCCAATTTCACCCACCCTATACAAACAAAAAAGAAACTTGTAAAAAATAATCTAATACTTTGTAATGCCTCATTTGTCTCCCCCGGCTGCTATAACTATATGTAAGCGTCGGTTCAAACTGCCAATGAGGCTACAAATATATTGTATTATGTTTTCCCATTCTTCTTCAAGGACCAAGCGAATATTCATAATTTGGCCATCTTCATCAAAATCTATGATTTTTGCACAATATTCGACACTAAGAATCATATTCAATCGTACACAACAATAGTAATCAAAGCCATCTCGTCATTATGCATAATAACATCAAAAAGTAACAATAATTGAAAAAATTGCAAAATGTTTGTGGCAAATTTATTTTGCTTAATTAAATTACCCAAGGCATGTGTTGACATAAGTCAAAAAACAAAATATTTAGAAGTTTTATTCAAATTCAAAAAGTTCTGAAATTGCCATGCTTATGTAATAGTGCAATTTTTAGAAAGTTCGCACACTATTCCCAACAAATCAACTAAAAAATTATCTTAATATGAATTATTGTATTTATTTGTGTTTCTTTGTTGCAGAAATAAAGAACTTTATGGGAGAGCCAGACTACAGACAGGTGAGGCTGCATTGGGAGAGTTCAGAAGTACCGCAAAAGCAATTTCTCATCAAGTACTGCGAAATACAAAGTTGGGGCAACGAAAGATGCCGGTACGACCAAGTGAACAATACGAGGGAAGCCAAAAATTTCATTGATGGTATGTATGAAGGATATAAATTCTGTATTATTTATTATTCCGGGTAGTTTTATAACGTATTGCACGTAATATGTACGTAAGCAATTCTATAAACATGAATTAGAATACAAATATTATACCATATCGGCAACAGACAGTCTTGGATCGGTATTTTCATGTCTAAGAGTGAATCGCTATGGTGATCTTGTAAGTCGGAGATTGAAAAATACAAAGTCTCTTTTACATAACCACTTAATTCAGCGCTTAATTTCATGCGCTTTGGAAAATTCTTGCTCTTCTCTGTTTGTTCAGTACAGCGCATCGTATTGTACTGAACACATAGTACTGTACTCTTCGTACACACGAAAATCGGCATCCAAGCGTTGCCGTCATTTCAATTACATTGCTCTACACAACTACTACTTGCAACTACACATTGCTCCAGTTGTCTCCAAAGTACATCCTATATAAACATCTCAAAGTTGTATTATGTTGAATACATAGTAATAATTAATTTATACACAAGGATGTTTAATTGCTTAATTATTTCAAAGAATTATTATTAATCTATAAATTATAAGTATTTTTTATTTACAAATACTATCTATTACAGGTGATGAGGTAGTGAGGCAATACTCGACTGACATAAAAGGTTTGCGCATGGCAACAACGTATTCTTTCGAAATTAGGCCTAGGAAAGAAAACTTAGAAAAGGAAGGAGAAAATAGAGCTAAAGAAGATGATAGGAATCAAAATGTCATCGTCATACCAACGAAAGGATGTAAGTAAAGCTATAATTTATTATTGTAAACTAAGTTAACAGCGACAACCAAAAAGTACAAGAGGCAACAAAGCAATGAGATTTTTGAATGTCCGGAGTGCGGTAGAGAGATAACATCACGTATCGGACTTTTCAGTCGCAGAAAAGCTCATGAAAGAAAACGCCTTGCGTGACCATCTTCTGATGCGTGTCAAATACTCGTCAGCGAGTAATGGCAGTATGTATGTAGTAATTTATTAATCTGATTTAACGTGTAATTGACAAAGTGTTCTTAACAGAATATAAACTTTGATAAAAACTGTGTCAAATTTTCAAATTTCTGCTTGTATTGTTTCTTTTAACTATACCAATCGAAACAGTGAGACCTGTATAGACATGGGCCAAAAAATGTGGTATTTCTGTGATATATGAATACTAGAAATTTGATTTAATATTTTTACTATGATATCATATCATAATACATATTCTTTTAAAATGTACGTTTACAGTACAAATATACGGAGTGTATGCAATCCTTTACTACATAAAATGCAGTAGCAGTTCTTGTCTGATTGCTCAACTGGTTGATTAATGCCTTTAATACATAATATCTGCGATTTCTTTTCAACACAACCGTTTCGATGTCACACCATTATGGGCATTATGCAAGTGTTCGATATTCAGATAGTAATTTTAATGTAAGATGTTTTTTTCGAAGACCTTCTATCTTTGTTTTGAAGAAATAATATGCCGTATGTGCCTATAACTATTTGTGATTAAGAGAAAACAAAATCATTTAGTGGATCCTATCAGTCAGTATTTAAAGTACTGTATTTCAAGTACGAGTCTTACAAAGGTCAGTATTTACAGTACTTCATTTTTCTATATTTCTGTTCACCCGTTCAAATACCCGCATAGCTTAGCGTCGCTTAACTTTGGTAATCGATCGTGAACTGGTAACTCGACATAACTGGGTCGTTGCCCTAATAGTTTTAGTTTCGAAGTGCTGACATTATTTTTTCTAAAATCGTCAGTGTATTTTATAGTTTATATTTCTAGTTTTACTTAATATAATCAGAGGTGATTATACAAACCAACGTAACTTTTGTAAGATTGTCAGTATACTCTGTTTTTTTTTCTCAGGTAAGATTTCGACAGACGATGACAGAAGAAAAGCAGATGACGTCCCATACCAATCTATTTATTTTACTAAAAAAAGTTTCTAATAATTTTTAAGTTATCTATGGATGGGTTTAAATATAAATCCGTCATACGTCGTGTCTTGTTGTTTTTAACCAGTTTTATTGGTTTATTTAAAAATGACAGATCGTATTTCAATTTATTGGTTTGACGGAACGATGAACGACAAACGGACGCCGATGCGTACGAACTCGCCTTTAGATTTTTGTCATTTTTGACGCTTGTCAAAGTCTTGCCAAATTATAGGTTATAATTTTGTGTCAACTTTTGTTAAATACCCTGCGTTTTGGAAGATGATGCATTTTGATTCGTATTATTACGTGTGTTTTGTGTCTTTTGAAGTCAAGTGGAGAAAAAATCGAGTGAAAATTAACTGTAGACCCAGAGCACAGTTTATGGTTAATACTCGCTGCCCAGGCAGAAAGTCTTATACACCGATGAAGTTGCCATCGATAAAGTTTGTATACCATTTCGTCGTAGATCAGTGCGTCTCGTATATAAGGATCAAACTAAACACATACTAAAAACTGGAGTAGCTGTAAAATATCGACATCACACGATAGGTAAATAAAGGATTTTAGTACTGCAGAAAAATAATGTCAAAAGGTACTGGTTTAAAAAAATTAAGATTAAAGTTAATTAATCAACCTTTAAGGTATAAAATTTGGTAGGAGTTATTATTAATAAAATAGTTTGTTTTATTTACCTATGTTGTTTTATTTATTCCTGTGGAATATTACAAATTTGTATTTGTACATAAGTTATATTGGTAAATATAATCATAAATGCGGGTAGTTTCATAAAGCTTGAAAGTAAATAATAGTTCTTTTTATATTTTTTTGGTGTGTAGTGTCTTGTTCTTGTTTGTTTTGTATTAACACATACCGTTTTTATTAAATAAAATAACTCGATTACATTTTTCAGTTTTATACAGTTTTTTTCACAATATTTTGAAGTAATCACTTGTCATCTTGTCAATCAAATTTTAAATATATCCTGCTATGCGTTCCAGTTGTACCAACTTATTTCTTTGTAAAATAAAATAAACTACTTTGAAATTAAAATGACAGACACATCTATCACTGTCAAGGATCTTCTCGTTGGACAGACTATAGTGTCAATTTTAAGGCACTGACACTATACGCAATAAAAGGCATTCATAGACATTAGACATGCTTTACTAATAATGCTCAATCATAATAGTTTAGTTTAAATAAAGTTGGACTATATTCCTTTACAGTAATGTTCTAAAGTAAACGGTCTTATTTATGTTCTTGCAATTTATTTTCAGATAATAAGGCTAAATCTATTTATTTAGTATTATGGTTAATTGATAATCTAATTGACCGTAACAGATCACCGACTTAACGACTTAGTTTTGGAATAAGTGTATATAATAATTCTTATATCTTTACATTTCTGTCGCCTACGTTAATGAGAAATGATATTAGCATTATTAGTATTTTTTATACAGGGTGAGTCTTAAATAAGTGCACATATTTTTATTTAATAGTTACATGATTTCTACACCTCACCAGGAACACGTCTATGAGGCTTTTTTCGCGAAAAAAAAAATCGTCGTCGTCGTATCCTTTTTCGATTTAGGTTTAAAAACTTCTCCTTCCTGGAGGTTGATATCGTACCATTTTTTGTGGAATTCTATCATTTGTCATTCTTTCTACATGTTCCTTCCAATTGTTTTCATATGGTACTCTTACTTTTTCTTCTAAAGGTTGTATTTTTAGTTCATTTCTTATTGTGTCATTTCTTATTCTATCTACTCTACTTATTTCTTTTATTTTTCATAAGAATGTCATCTCCGTTGTTCTGAGTCTTTGTTCTTTAACTTTTGTGTTAGTTTCGTTTGGCACCGCTAATGTATTATACAGTGTGATTCCTGTAAGTCGGTCATGCTTTCGAGGAATGATAGGGGACGTCGAAATATTAATTTTGATATAGCACACTATTGGTCGGAAATGCCTCTTACGCAAGATACAGGGTGTTCAAGTTTTTGAAGAATTAAAGATATTCTTTAATAGTTTTTTAACAGTTGAAGGTATCGTTATAAAATTTCATTATAGGAATCTACCTAACAGAGACACTTTAAATGTAAAAAGAAGAGGTTTTAGTTTTAACCAGTGGCGTAGATGTGATACGCATCGGGTAATTTTTTCAAAAAAAATAGTACGCCACTGATACAAATAAAAATTTTGGAGTTTTTATTTACTCGGTTTAATTCCAAGAAAAAATGTCTCTTGCAACTTTCTTCTATCTAACACCATTGTGTCACAATTTAAATATAACTATTATTTTAATGAGAACCTTAAATATGCGAATTATTATAACTACCTTAAAACTACGAATTTTATTATTAACAATAAAAAAAAATTCTAGTTTAAATTTATAATTATTTAAAAATTTATTTAGAGCTAATAGTAAAAAGTACTAAAGTTACCCTAGATGAAGGGAGCTAACGATACACATGTGTTTCTGCCCTCTAGTTATAATAATTCGCTGTATTTAAGATTATCATTAAAAAAACTATTTATTTTTTAATTGTGACTAAATGGTGAGAAAGTTACAAGAGACATTTTTTCTTGGAAATAAACTGAGTAAATAAAAAACTCCGAAATTTTTATTTTTATCAGTGGCGTACTATTTTTTTTTGAAAAAATTACCTGATGCATATCACATCTACGCCACTGGTTGAAACTAAAACCTCTTCTTTTTACACTTAAAGTGTCTCTGTTAGGTAGATTCCTATAATGAAATTTTATAACGATACATTCAACTCTTAAAAAACTATTAAAGAATATCTTTAATTTTTTCAAAAACTTTAACACCCTGTATCTTGCATAAGAGGCATTTCCGAAGTGTGCTATATCAAAATTAATATTTCGACGTCCACTATCATTCCTCGAAAGCATGACCGACTTACAGGAATCACCCTGTATAGTCTTACTTGCGTTTCTAGCCGTATTTTTTTTTTAAGTTTTTGCGATATTTCCACACACTGACTGGAATTTATTTATTTTTTTCATGTAGTCATTATCTTTATCATAGGTTATGTCGCATCCCAAGAAGCTGAAGTGCGATATTTGCTGTAGTGGTTTATTTATTAAACCAATTTTTGTGGGGATTCCGTCTTTGCCCCAGTCTGCCATCACTTTTGTTTTTTCTGTAGATATTTTATAAAATATTAAAAACTTCATCAGTAGCCTCGAAAAAAATTGGCGCCGGGAGGCAACTATAGCCGCCCATACTAAAATATGTTAATAAAAAGTTGGTAGGCAGTTCTTTTAATTTCAAAGTAAAGGAATTTTTCCCATTTTTTTTATCTCAAAAACTGCGACTTTCACTGATTTTGATGATATTACAAATTATGTTGCAAATATTATTCCTAATCTTAAATTGAAAACCGCGTTTCGCTAGCTACTGTAATTTTGGAGTTACGTTTTTTTTAAATTTTTAACCCCCTCGCACATATCCTCTTACTAACCCCCCACCCCCACCAAGAACTAATGGCCAGATTCTCGGGTGCCACAGTATTTTTGTGCCAAATTTGGTTAAAATCGATTTAGCGGTTTTTGAGTTATCGTGTTACAGACAGACGGATAGACGGACAGACAGACAGACACCATGAAAATATTTTGTATTTAGGTCATTTATGACCCAAATAACTCTTTTTGAGTGAAATTAAAAAAAACTTTTTTTTTGCCGATCTTAATAGCCTACCATACCTGTTGGTATGGTTGGGTAAAAAAATGTTGGAAATTTTTCAAAAGCTGAAATTAGGTCTCCAAGCTGTTTTATAAAACTTT